GATGGACAGCCAAGCCTCAGCAAAGGATGGAGTGCAGCTAAAATCCCCTCAAGTAGAATATTTATTTGAGAAATTTTAAAATATTATGCTATAGAAATTCAATCTAAATTTTTCATGCAATGAGAAATGGATCATAGCATCAACTTCACTCACAATGATCATGCATGGATTAAAGGGCTTTGAATAAGGTCATAATGGAAAACAAGTATCTAGTCATTACTAATGAGTATTTTGATTGGCTTAGTGGTGCCAAATCTTCAAGTACATCAATGAGGGGGACAAACCTAAGTCATAATATGTCACTTATCATGGGTCTTTTGACTTTATAGTGACGTCTTTTGGGCTCATGAAAACACTACTTTTTACTCATTAAGTACATCCTCCTTATAGCTATGAGTCATCGGTTGTCTTCGTCTCTCACTGCTTATAGTGATCTTGTCGTGCTTATGTTGCTATGATTATGCTAGATAGATCCTCCACCCTCTTTGTCAAAGCTCAACTTGAGCCCACAATTACAAGTACATTGTGAAATTATAGAGCTTATATATTTTAAACATGTTATGCACCTCAAGCATCAAAAGAGAACTTCTTCACATATTTACACATGGTGCCAGTATATTTGAGTTAGCACATGCTGGTCGAGTTGCCAATACACTATTTGTGAAGTGAAATTTTCTCTAACTTCGCTAGCAAAGTCAAGTTAGCATGATTTCGATGATTGTTGGCAATCCTCCACCTAGGTACACCACCAAACTTTAGCATATTATGTAAGATATAGACCCATGAAAAATACCTTTCCTTGCTCTTATGAGGTATTTGCCTCAAAGTATCATTGGACATCCCATAAAAAAAAATTAATCTCTAACGCATCCCTCTTTTCAAAGAAATATTTGGGATTTGTTACTCTAAGGCAGATTTTAAATGAAGAGACCCCAACTTTTTCTCTAGTTGAGGAATTCTCAATTGCTCCTTGAGTAATTACAAATCAACAAGAGAAAAAGTAATAAATCACTTGAAAATCCAGCAATAAAATAAGTTCAGCCTATTTGATCAGAAAAATACACCATGGAAGGACAATTATGATACTAGAGCAACATAACACTTTAGTATTTTTCTATTATAAAGTTGAATCTTCTATCAATAGTAGAGTTGAAATATTATCATTGAACATTGTTCATATAAAACATTTGAAAACTACATATATATTATAAAAATTTAAGATTTAATAAAAATATTTTAACATGAACATTATGAAATATAGTATTCAAAAATATTGTTGTGATGTCATGACAAGATAATGACTAACAAAAGCCTCATAAGCCCTCTTATATTGTTGATGTCTATTATGTTGAAAAGTGTTTAAAAAAATAAGTTAAGGAATTAGTAGCCAAATGTTATTTACAAGAAATATATTTATTTAGTTTACCATGTGGGTGTCAAACTCTTTATGCCATTAGAGTATGGTGTACTACCTCATGCCAAGGAAACAAAGTTATCTATAGAAATATATACTTTACAATACACTAAACATTAAATACATAACAGATTTGAAATAAAAATATTCTAAAAATAACATATTATATACAAAAGAGACATTCCAAATAGAATTACATCCATTGAATAGATATAATACACTATTTGATAAATCATTGAAATATGACTAATTATTAAATTAAGATATCATAGTATAATAAATATGAATAATAAAATTTATTAAGTTAACTGATTTAAATGTAGTCAAGTTTCTATTTAATTGAAAAGTCACTTATGAATAGAAAATGTCCATACACATCTAGGACGTTGTATGCATTTGCACACCTTTGCAAAAAGGTAAAGCATATGAAAGTACAAGACTACTTTTATTAGTTACTGACATTCTTGCAACTAGTGTTTCCTCGTGACAAAGAAAACGTGTCTACTACTCTCTTTATAAGTTTGTAAGTTTATAAGTTTTCAATATCTAAGTTTTTTTGTGTAGCCAACAATGTAAAACAAGATAACTATATTCTCTATCAACTTCTAGGTGAATAAAACTTAAACAATTGGTAGTTAGCTATCATGGTCAAACTCCTTATCTAATATAGACAAGTAAAAAAATTTCTTCTTGATTTATAATAAAATGGATTCATAGAATGATTCTTGAATTAAGATTGGACCCAAAAGTCATAAAAATAATTCAAGTAAACCAAAGGATAAGTAATTTGGTCATAATGTTACTAAAATTCTATTCAAATGTTTTCATATGTATAAATATATCATCTTAGGTCATATTAAGTCTTATTCACAATGGAAGAATAAATGATAGTACATCCATATATTCTCATATTTAATAACATCACAATTTTTCATGTGATATCATCGTTAATTGTCCCACTCCACAATATGAGCTTCAATTTGAACTCCTATGTTTTCTTCAAAAGAATTCTATTTTACAAACTTGTACAAGATTTGATCTCCCATGATATGACTATTTCACTAACTTAATTATTCTCTTATTATCCAAGCATATAATTACCTCATAAATACACCCAAATAAATTCTACATTAGTAGCCCTCTATATAATTCATAAATTAAGAGTTACTAATAATTAAATCATTGTTACCAAGACATCTCACATTTTACATGATCTTACAAGCATATTATGTCATTAAAAAGTAGGTAACCTCAAATAACAATCAATCTAATTTAGTCCACACTAGCATGAAATTACTTCAATATAGCATGAGATTGATAAAAACCTCTCATTAAGAACTATTCAAGAAGGAAGAAGCTTTTAAATTCTATATATCTAACCGCTACACATAGAAGTAGAAAGTATCCACATGAAAAATGAAAGGACTAAGGGTTATAAATAAGGAGACAATTTTATGTGGGTGATAGAAAAATATTTGGTCATTGATTCTTTTGGAAATCCTTTACAAACTTATGGCAAAACTGATTTGATCTCCACAATTTAAATCTTCTCTCCCTAATCCCTATTTTTCTATCTCACTTAAGAAGAATTACATTGAGAATGATGTTGAAGCACCCAAGTAAGAGTTAAGGTGACAAAGTGAGCTGATGGAGCAAATCTTGAAAAGGATGGCAACTCTTGAGCTAAGGTGATAAGGTGAGATGATGAAACAAAGCTTGAAAAAGGTGATAATTCTTGTGTTGAGTTTTTCTCCACATGTTCAAGAAAAAAATGGCACATGTTTAGGACTCACAACAATCACCATGGAATCAAGACTTTTATATATAATTCTATTGAACTAACAATAGAGCTGAACTCCTAATTTTTAATGGAGAAAATCTATAAGGCAAGATTAGACTCATATAGAAGTACTTATACTCAAATCCATACCTAAAAAGGAATCCCTCAACACTGTCATAATTAGTCTAGACAAACACAATGTATACTAATACCTACAGATGGAAGATAGGTTTTGTTTTTATGATTTGTATGATTCCAAGATCTAATTAGAGCATTGATTTGACTTTTCAAGCACCAAAAACAAGAATGAGTGTCTTCTTAACCTCAAGTAAGGTGGATTGATTCTTAGATTTAAAGCTAAATTTAAATAACTTGCAACATATCTCCTGAACATACTTATCTACTTATCAAAGTAAATGAGAACATATATCTAAAATGATTGAAGTTGAAAAGTCAATCAACACATGCAATGTACATGCACATTGACCTTAGAAATATCAGAGATGCATCAGCTTAAATTGAGATACATCTCAAACAATGTAATTGGCTTGGAATCAATATCCACCTAATTCTTATAAGCTTAATTAGCTACTGTACATTCCTCCCCTAAGTAATGAGAAAAACAATCTGAGCACTAGGCTATTTTCTCAGATTGAGAAATTATATCAAAAATTATTTCATTACCTTCTACTTCTTACATGAAAAAGCACAAATAGTTGAAGCAATAGAGCAAGAATTACAAGCAATGAAAGATAAAGAATTATGTTTCTACTATAGTGAGAGCTTTGTTCTATGTCATAGATGTAAGAAGGATAACAATATTATATTTATATTCTAAATTTGGATCATATGTATATACTTTGATTATATTTGTTAAGCCTAATGTCTTGATTTTAATGTAGGATGTTATTATTATAATTCAATTAATTTTCATGTAAGAGGTCCGAATTATCCTTAAAATATAATTTACAAATTTAACACGTTATAAACAATAAGTTTTATATGGATTATTAGTTTGAAATTTTGTCTTGAACATATAAAAAGTGGTGAACAAAATTTCTTATCTTTCATAAATTCATTTAGATGATATTTGGATGTCTAAGATAATATATATTTAATATGGACTTAAATATAATTATTATTAATGAGATGGATATTTTATATTTTTTGAGGTTTCTTTTATGACATCTTCTTAATTAAGAAAAATAAAGTGTAGAAAATTAAGAGAGAGGAGGGAGCGTGACAAGTCAAAATGGCTAAATGAAAGTGGTGGTGTGACCAATTAAACCAATCACTTAAAAAAAAGATGGTTGGCCATTTAGGGGGATATGAACGACTCTCAACCATTCACACATCTAGGAAGAATCAAACCGACAAGGAGGGAAAAGAAACCATCCCCTCAACTATCTATATTTACCCCTTTACATTTTCATCAAAGGGGATCTCAATTTACCATGAGAGAGAGCCATCAAAAAGTGTATGACTAGTGAACATCTTTCTTAGTTTCTGGTTGCTGTTCATCGAAGATCATTTTCAAGTTTCTTAGAGAGAGCTATCCCTCCCCATTATTCATATTCTCCTTTCTCCAAAAATGTATCTTTGGAGTCTACTTTTCTCCTTCTCATTCCACAAAAGTATGATAGATTTTTGCTCTTTTCTTTTATCCTCTAATGATGTATGATAAGTCTTCATTATCATGAGTTAATAATTAGTAAATAATATAGTTTTAGCTTTAACTCATGATAAATAGACTTATATTTTTGGTTTTCAATTGATTAACGTGAATTTTTGGGTAATTATGTGATTTTATACAATTTTTACAGTCTTACTTTTGAGATAAATGAAGAACAAGAAATAAAAATAAAAATATTGCAAAAATAGGGGGACCTGCCAGCCAGTCGGGCCTGCAAGCGGGTCAGAAACATAGTCGGGGAGTAGCCGCGAGCTACAGCTCGAGCAGCTTGGCTTGGGGACCGATAGGGCATGTGTACGCCACTTCCCTTCCACGTCACCGGTGGCCAGCCGACTATGGGGCAAGGAGTGGTCGTACACGCGAGAGAAGGGACTTTTCTTACAAAGCTAACATTACTATATATTTACTCGAAAAATCGGCGCACAACTGATGTGGGACTAAACCCCCGTCACACCTTCCTCAGAAGAGGCGGGCGACTGGTGTGAGTTCGAATCCTCCCAAACTCAAAATTCATATATTTTTATCTGATTATCGCGACTTTTCTGTAGATCGCCGGTGAAGGATTAAGCAACGAGAATCGCTGAATCATCGGCGAAAATCTCGTCAATGCGATTCGCGGAGCATTGCTACTAAAATTGTTAAACGATTCGCGATAAAAGGATCGTAAATCCATCAAGTAAATCATCTCCGATTGATCGACGAACAAGTCGTCATCGGAAAGAGGATGATGCACCAAGAGACCAGCCGCCACCTCCTGAGAGCGTACCAAATGCGATGAAGAGCCTCCTCTTGCTGCGCGGACTTGAGGATGAAGCTCCTTGACACGCGCCCCACCTCTATCCAGCTCCTCTCCGTCGGGTGGCAGCCGCCGGAGAGCCGCAAAGTTTTCATTTTTCCGCTTCGCCGGGTGACAGCTGTCGGAGATGATTCGACGACCTACTTCATTGATCTCTAGACTTCGCGAGAAGATCTAGAGATTGCCCACGTCGTCTTTGTCCAAGGAGAACTTTCGAGGCTGTGGACACTACACGACAACCCTCTTGAATGCTCAGGATTCCGATGCATCGTCGACGCATCGCCGTCGTGATGCCAAAACTCTGTTTTCCTCCTTTCAATTTACTTTATGCTTCATTTAGTGATAATTTTTGTGTTTTTAATTTACCAAAATATACTTTGTTCTATTACGATTCTTCTGGCTCTTATAGATCTTAATTTGATCAATTAAATCGTTCGTAATCACTTACGTAAAAATCACCGAGTAGAACTCTATTTTCGCCCGATTTGCACTCGCCAAGCACAGATGTCATCCTTTATTTTGTTTTAACTTAACTCTTGTTTTTTTTTTTTTTACCAATTTTTATTAAAAAAAGGGAACGAAAAGAAGCACGGCAAGGACTAGAGCATCCTAAAGAGGGTAACAATTACTAACTTTTTCCCTCGAATTTATTGATTTTTATGCATAGTAGAAGATCTTTGCATCCAAGGCTAGAAAATCCTTTCATTATTTCATTCAAAAATAAAAATTCGAAAGAAAAATTAATTTTGATGGATCCTGAAGGAAGTACAAGTCAAACTGAGAACAATCCTATGGCCATGAAAAATCATTATATCCCTGATTCATTCCAAAGAGCATCTAATATTAGAATCCCATTAGCACCCACTGTTAAATTCGAAATAAATCTAGAAATTTTTCAAATGCTCCCTAATTTTCATAGATTGCCTTTAGAGGAACCTTATCAGCACTTAGAAAATTTTTATATGGTCTGTGATTTAGTTAATCTCCCTCAAGTTACACCGGAAATTATTAAGATGAAATTATTCCCTCATACACTTAGAGACAAAGCTAGTCATTGGCTATCTACATTAGATAAAGAATTAACTAGCTGGAAGATATAGAATGGGCTTTTTTTCGAAAATTTTATCTCTTAGGAAAAACTCAAAATATGAGAAAACATATATGGAGTTTTTCTCAAAGACCAAGAGAAACTTTGCATGAGACATAGGAAAAATTCAAAGATTTACTTAGAAAGTGTCCTCATCATGCTATACCCAAGTGGCAGCTCAATAGAATTTTTTATGATGGATTATTAGAACAACATAAAAATATGGTTGATTCTATATGTGGAGGAGTTTTTATGGAGAAAACTCCTGATGAGATTTACAGTCTTTATGATAATTAAGTGAAAATTCTAGAGATCAAGCCTCTTTTGAATTATATGACAGAGATAAGAAGAGAGGAATTTATGAATTGCATCATGATGATGATTCTAAACTTAGAAATGAAGTTAATCAGATTAATCAAAGATTAGAAAAAATTGATTTACTTATTGACAATATTAAAAAGCCTTTTAACTCTCAACTTAATTCGAATAATACATGTCCTATGTATGGTGAAAATGATTATTCTGAATTTCAATGTTATAATTTAGATCAATCATTTCACCCTATGCAAGAACAAGTGCAAGTAGCTCATGGTTTTAATAGAAATAGGGAACATTTTTCAAATTCTTATAATCTTAATTGGAGAAATAATTTTTCATGAAGAGACCCAAATAATATTCAAAATCTAGAAGCACTTAGACCCTATTCAAACTCTGAATTTCGTCCAAAATAAGAAAATAGATTTCAGAAAAATCAGCCCTCTCAAACCCAACCTGATGCTATAGAAATGATGCAGCAAATGAGCCAAATGATGCAACAAACTATGAATCAAATGATGCAGCACTAGAAACAAATTATAGAGGCCCTTGGGAATAAGAGAGAAAAAGGACAGCTACCTAGTCAGCCCATAGAAAATTCAGAAAACTGTCCAATAGTAAGATTTCAGCAAGAAGAGTCTAGCTGGATAAATTTAGAAAAAAACCCACGAAATGAAAATGTTAGGACAGTGAATACATTGAGTGAGAATATTTTACCTGATCCTTATTTTCAATTATTAGAAGAAATTGATGATCCATTAGAAGTAAATGAGAATATTAAGGCCAAAAATATAGTAGCAGAAAATTTGAATAAAATCATTTATTGCTCACAATTGATGAATGAATATAGTGAGCATGATGAGGAGAAAGAACCCTTAGATGAAGAAACAGCAACTGATCATAGAAAAATCATCCAAATTTTAATAGAAGAGAGTAAGGACAGAAATGAAGAAAAATATATTTCAGGTGAGGAAAAATCAATTGATTTGGGAGATGTAGGAGACGAAATTAATAAATCTAATCATAATTTTGCAGCCATGGATGTTGATTGTGAGGATGATGATGTATATCATATACCAAAATCAAAAGATAGCTCTTGGTAAGATGAAGAATTTGATGAGTTGAGAAACGAAAAGCTAGAAAAAGAATTGATTCAACTAATGGGAACAAACGAAAATAATAGATATGAATATAGAGATAATTTTGGAGGAGAAATTTTGAATTTTACTGAATTCATTAGATCTGAGATTAAAGAAGACAATCCTTCCATCCTTCAAAACCCACAGCCCATTAAAATTATTTCTAAGCTTGAAATATTTCACTCCTCGCAAATTGAACAAATATGTATGGAAGATAAAATGGAGCAGGGAAAGATTATGCAAATAAAAGAAGACATTAAGAAATGAGTGAGTGGAAGAATTAGAGATACCAATTTAGATGAAAAAAATTTAGATTGGGCAAGAGCTAATTTGAAAATTATATGGCCTGATCACATTTTATAGTTTATTAATAGAAAGTATTTATTAATGAATGAGAGCCTAACAAAACAAGATAGAAATAAGGAAAGATTCTTTTCAAAATGGAAATATTATTTTTGAGAAAATTTTGTTAATTTTCATTTTGTTTTGGCTGAAAGTATGTTAAGGTATATATATGAAGTATATGAATTTATGCTAAATCTGAAAAAGAATATCATGAAACTTACCTTAGGATACAAATATATTTTGATGGTCATAGATCATCTTATATGATATAAGAGCTGTCTAGTTGGAGACATTAAATTCAGCACTGTATAGGAGGTAACCCATGGTTTTTATTTCATTCTATTTGATTTTTTTAAGCTTTGTTTTTCTTAGAATTTCGTAATACTTGTTTTTGTATTTATTTTTTTTCGAAAAAGTGTAAGAGGAGGAGTGTAAGATGAAGTAGAAAATTAAAAACGAGGTTGAGATGATGTCTTTCTGAGCTTCATCATTTATGAAAATATTTTTAATGCTTAACTTTGTAGATATGCATGCTTTACTTGAAAATTATATTTTCTATATATTCTGTTTCGAGTTTTCTATGTCATTGAGGACAATGTTATTTTTAAGTTGGGGGGTGAAGTATTCATTATTAATTTATGCTGTAGGACGATTAAGAACATGTGTTTGCATTTTATTCAACTTAGAATAGTAACTAAAAAAAAAAATCGAAAAAATTGCAACATCTATTTTCTGGTTTTCTGTCATAAACAACAAACTGTCAAAAATAGCAGAAAAAAAACAACCTAAAATTTGAAATTCTAGAAGACCCTTTTCTCACATTTCAATCCCCTAAATATATATTACTGAAATTCGAAATTACAACAATAAAGAAGATAGTTTTAATTTATTTTTGACAAATTTATTGCTGCTAAAAATAGAACTGAAAATAGAAAATAGAATTGTCAGAACTATCTAATTTACAAATTCCTTACATCATATTACATGCATGAAAAATTAAATCAATTAGATTGATTGATACCAAAAGATACTAGGAAGATTATTATTGAGTCAAAAGAATGATCTAATAGCATAAAATGTTGGAATACTCTTTGGATACATGATAGATAACATGGATTTGATTTTACAGATTTTCACTTCATAATCTTGATAGATATTATTTACTTGATGTGAAAATTTAATTGATCATTTGAGTTTAATGGAGATTTTTTTACCCTAATCTATAGGACTTGTGAGGAGAAATCACTTATTTTGAAAAAAAAAAAAGAGAGAGAAATGTGAAAAATCTAGAAACGAAGAGTACACATGGAGGGTGTGAGACATCATTCTCATTATCGAAAATCGTGCATAGAAAAACATTTGCTGAAAAATAAGTGGATAAAGTGAAAGCCCTGAAAATGAAGAGTACACATGGAGGGTGTGAGACATCATTCTTATTGTTTAAATTTGTCTACAGGAAAAGCTACTTATCTACTATTTATAAAAATAAAATAAAAAAAAAGAAGAAGGAAGAAATATAGTGTAAACTTCAAAAATCAAGTCATAGAAAAAAGGAAATGTAAGATCAATATTATTCTTGGATGAGTATTGATAATTAGAATATCTTGCAAATATATCTATGAGTGAAGAAGTGATAAAGATGTGAATAGAAGAAGTGAAGTCTAGATTGTTATTCCAAGGAGTGTTTAAACATTTAAGTACTTGACATCATTTTTAAATACTTGATATAAGAATCTAAAGTATTTAAAGGTGCATCATTTCTAATTATATATTTTTTCTGTATTGAAATATGATGTTTGAGATTTGTAAAATTTTATTTTCGTAATTCCATTGCTAAGGGACTAACAATGATTTAAGTTGGGGGGTGTGATAAGTCTTCATTATCATGAGTTAATAATTAGTAAATAATATAGTTTTAATCTTAACTCAAGATAAATAGACTTATATTTATGTTAAAGAATGATTTTTGGTTTTCAATTGATTAACGTGAATTTTTGGGTAAT